AGTCCAAGAACAAACCACACGAACCACGCGTGCGTGCATGTGTGTGTGTGTGTGTGCTTGAGTGAGGAGCTCGACACTCCTTGCGCCTGCGAACACACGTGCAGAATTGTAATCGCAGACACACACACACACACACACACAAAACACACACACACACACACAGACAAACAAACACGCAGACGAACAAACACACAGACGAACAAACACGCAGACACGCAGACACATACGCAGACAAGCGAATGCGCTTTGAAAGACCTCTGTGGAGTCTGGAGAGCGTGTCATATGGTTAAAGTCGTGGTCAATGGGGTCTTGGGAGCATGTTGAATCGTATGTAAAGTGCTGTGTGGGACCGAAGCTGTGGCTCATGAACAACATCCGTCTGCAATTGAACGCCATATATGTGGTCTCACGCGGCACGTCGGCGTCAATGTCGGTGCTGTGGCTGCTGTGGCTGCCGTGAATTCGGTTGCTCGCGTGTGCATGGTGTGCATCTCCATCTCCGTTCTCCTGCTGTTGGTCTGCCGTTGACGGGCGACTGCTCGCTGCCGCCGCTGCTCTGATGACACAGAAGGAGAGGCGGGTTGGTGGCGGTGCCAGGTCTGCCCGCTCATCTGGGCTCAGCACCGGTCGCGGCAATGCCACCCGCGTACACTTTCGATACACCCCATCTGTACACTCGAACCCCTTGACAAACGACAGCAACCAGGACGGCAGTCATGCATTCATTCGTCCGTCGACGGGTGAGAAACTCACATCAGAGAGAGAGAGAGAGCACGGAGAGCACGGAGAGCAGGGAGAGCAGGGAGAGAAGCGTGCGATAGGAAAGTTGTCACGCAGCCATCACCACCCCAATCTGTCTTCTCGCACCTGTATGTCTTGCATGGCGAGTACGGCAGTGTTCCTGCTGTGGTCGTTGTCGTGTGCAATGTCACAATCCCTGCTGTCCTTCTTCCTCTCTTGTGTGTGTGTGTGAATTTCTGACCACTTTCACCACACACACACGCACACACACGCCACGCACACACACACGCCACGCACACATGATGAGGATGGGTGCACTGGCCACGACTAGGCTGCCACTGTTGCTGGTGTTGTCGGTGGTGCTGCTGGGATGTGCCGTGGGGTTCAGTGCTGCGGCGACCACGATCGATGTGCATCGTCTTGCCCAAGTCACCACCGCACAGCAAATACTCGGTTGGGGAGGATAAGGGAGAAGGGGAAATGGTTGTGCTTGCACACTGGCCACGTGGTGTTGCACCCCATGTGCGTGTGGATGACCGCGTTGATGATTGATGAGACACATACACATGATCGCATGCACATGCACACACTCACGCCCGCACACATGCACATGCACACACACACACTCCACACACACATGCACACACTCACGCCCGCACACATGCACATGCACATGCACATGCACATGCACATGCACATACACACACATATGCACATGCACACACATGCACACTCACACACACATGTACACTCACACACAACATGTAGGGTCCACGAGCACGTCATTTGAAGGGCGGCTGACACGGAATGCGGCCGGGTACGGCGTCCTGTTGATCACGTGGCCGGAACTGGCCCGCCTCTCCTCGTTGGAGCAGCTCAAGTGCTCCGCACTCGTGGTGACCCTGCCGACAGCCGAGGAGGACGGCTCAGAGATGCAGCACGCGCTCTGGCACGCACTCAAGCTTCGCCTTCTCTCTCGCGAGTGGTCGATCCCCGTGTACTTTGTGAAGCCAGACGCACCACACGTGCAGGACATGTTGGCAACCGGGTTGGCTGGCAAGACCAAGGCCAAGGGCAAGGTCGACTTTGGCGCTTTCCTGCGCGGCAACTATCACCTCAAGGTGGACGCCCCAAGCCCAACTGCACACGACAGCCTGGATTCCCCAGCCTTGCACGTGCACCTCCGCGGCGTGTCTGAAGAGAAGCCCATCCTCATCGTTGCGCACTACGACACATACGGCGCCGTCCCCGTACGTGCCAACGATCGACACACGAGCCGCAGACTAGATGCTTGCGTGCGGGTTGTGCGCCGTGTACGCCCTCACATCTTGCAACCATGCACACGTGTTTGCGCTCATACCCCCCGTTGCATGATTGTTACTGCGTTGCAATTACGTCAGGGTGTCGCTGAAGCGGATGGCACGGGTCTTGCGTCGGCGCTCCACATGCTGCAGCAGCTCTCCAACCTCTATCGTGACACAACCACACTGCCAAAGTGAGCTGCAGTGTCACGTCAATGCCCATCCATGTCCGCACACAGACACACATAGACACACATAGACACACAGACACAGACACACACAAATAGACACACACACACGCACGGCACAACCATGAGCGCACAAGTTGTGCATCACGTTCATCTTGTTGACGTGCTTGCTTGCTCGCGTTGCCAGGCGAAGCGTGCACTTTCTGATTGTCGGGCAGTCGTCTCTCGGCTACGCGCCGCTCAGCGCTTGGATCGAGCGATATCGTACGCTGCTGTGGTTGTGTCGTTGTGATGGAGATTGAGGGAGAGAGACCAAGACAGAGGAAGAAAGGGTGTGCATGTGCACGTGTGTGTGTGTTGCTTGTCTCCTCCACAACGGGGTAATGCCTGTCATGTTGTGGTCCACAGCTCACTGCTTTCTCCACTGCCACCTTTGGCGCTGCTCCTCTCGACCTGCTGACACCGCTTGACAGGGCCAGCCGACCTCTCGTTTGCCGTGTGCCTCTCATCGCTCTCAACAACGCAGCACAACCGCCTGTTCATGCACGTGTCCAAGCCCCCACGCGATGGCAGTGATCTTGGCGTCTTTGTGGACATTCTCAACGCCACGGCGAGCGAGCGTGGACTCCCCATATCCATGGTGCACCGCAAGATTAACCTGGCATACGACCTGCGCAGGTGCAGCTGTGGTTGAAGCATTCAGTGTTGTTTTTTCGTCATCCCAATGCCCCCGTGTTGCTTGATGAATTGCGTTGTGTCTGTACATGTGTTCGTGTTGTGGGAACTTGTTTGGATGCGTTGACTGACTGTGATATTCTCTCTTCCGCGCTCACACATACACACACACGTGTGCACATACACACATACGCACATACACACATACATACGTACACACATACACACAACCACACAACCACATACAAACACATGCATGCACACACCTGCAACTCTACTCCATTCCAACCACCACGCCCACGACGACGCAATGGCTGCATGCCAGCTGGGAGCACGAGCAGTTCAGTCTGCACCGCCCGCGGACACCGGCAATGACGCTCTCCACCATCCCCGATGCGCCGCAACACGGCACCCTCTTCCCGCGCGCAGAGAAGACGTGTGTTCACGTGTGTATTCGTGTGTGTATTCGTGTGTGTATTCGTGTGTGTATTCGTGTGTGTATTCGTGTGTGTATTCGTGTGTGTATTCGTGTGTGTATTCGTGCGTGTATTCGTGTGTGTATTCGTGTGTGTGTGTGTGTGCGTGCGTGCGTGCGTGTATGTGTGCGTGTATGTGTGCGTGTACATAACGTGCGTGTTGCTCTTGTGGCGACATCTATCGTACTGTACTTGAAACCAAACCATTACCACGACCGCCACGACCACCACCGCCAGCAGCAGCAGCGATTTTGATCCTCATCCTTGTCACACATCACCACATATCACCACTTGTCACGCGACGACAACAGGGCCGCCATTGATCCCGCCGCCACATCCGCCGTCACGTCTGCTCTCAGCGAAGCGCTCGCACTCGTCCTCACAGACACGAACAACGAGGTGCCAAACATACTGCTGTTTGTTGTGTGTGTGTCACGCCATGTTGTTGGTTGAGCGACAGGTGCCCTGTCACGCTCAGTCAACACGTTAACCTGCACAAATGCACATGCACACGCATGCACACGTGTATTTGCATTCGACTACGCATGCACATCACACAAACACACATGCACACACAGTGTCTGACTCACCCATTTACATTCACCCATGTGTCCCTCGCCATCACTGCCCGCATTGTCTCGCCCCAAAGGACGAGGAGTCAGCTGTGCGCCGGGAGGGCGTGCTTGCATCGGTCCACACGCGCGACGATTTGCTGACGGCGTGGATCCAAGAGATGGATGAGCAGCCGCTGCTGCCCCAGGACACACACGCAGCGGCAGAGTTCCTCACACGCGTGCAGCAGGTACACGCGCGCGGTGTTTGTGTGTGTATGTGTGTTTGTGTGTGTGTGTGTGTGTTTGTGTGTTTGTGTGTGTGTGTGTGTGTGTGTGTGTTCCTTTGCTTTGGCTTGCTCTCCCTCTGGGCTTCTGTCCTTCTCCCTCGTTCTGTGTCTCACGAGTCGTTGTTGTTCTTGGGCCATACACACACATACACACACACCAGTATCTGAGCAAACGGTACGGCGTTGCCGCCCGCTACCTCAACTTCGACATTACCACTGCCGCTGTTGTGCCGCACAGCCCAATCAACGCAAAGATGGTACATGCAGGCGTGACGATGTGCACTGTCGTCAGCTGTTGTTGTTGTTGTTCGTGATGGACTCAAACGGTTTCCTGACCCCACCCTTGCTGATACACTTACACTTACACATACACGTACACGTACGCGCGCACACACACACACACACACACACACACACACACACACACACACACACACACACACACACACACACACACACACACACACACACACACACACACACACACACACACACACACACACACACACACACGTACACATGCGCACCACGCCACGTTTCCGCAGGTGGAGCAGCACACCGCTCCCCCCGGCTCCGAGCTGGTTGTGATTGGCGCCGCCCTGTACTACGCCGCGATTGTTTATGTCGTCATGCGCCAGCTGTGTGCCGCCACCAAGAAGAAGCGCGAGGCTCATCATGTGCAGCAGTGTGTGATGAATGAGTGTGTGAGAGTGCGCGAGTGAGAGAGTGCTGCAGTACTCTTCTTGGCGACTGCTCCTCTGTTGTGTTTGTGGTGTTC